GAGACCTAGCCGTAGATGGGAGGATAATCTCAGGCGGGATCTATGGGAGATAGGAGTTGAAGGAGACTGGATTTTGTTGGCCCAGGACAGGGTCCGGTGGAGGGCTTTGGTTAATTCGGTGATGAACCTTCGGGTTCGGTAAGCCATCTAGTTAGGTAGTTAGTTAGTCTTTGGGGTAGAGGAGTTTGTTCGTTCATCCTTAACTGGTTTTCTGAACCTGTGACGTCAGTGGACACTCCTTTAGCTAACGCCGTCTTGAAGTTCTCAAGTGACGGGTTCGACGCATAACGAGAACAGAAAACTACGCGCCTTAAAGGAAGCTGAAGATGTCTTGAAACTTGAGCCCCATTCACTGGTCCCTTCCTACGCGCCAGGTAAAATAGCAGAAGAAATGTTTACATCCACGACGGACAAAATATTCTTCGGACTCGAATCCCAGGAAAGTTCGGGAAATCCGAAATGGAAATAACGGGCACAATTCGGAGAACGATTGGGCTCGAGGTTGTTAACTAGCGGTTCGTTCGTACGTTATTCGACGATGCTGCACCAACTGCTTAGTCGGCGTCGAATGATATACGATTACTTACTACGATTTAAATTGGTTCAATAAAATGTCTTAGATGTAATGTCACGAAGGCAATGGAAGGGCTTAGCCCTTCTCACCGCTCTACAGGGCGATTACTCCTGATGATTGAGGCAGCATGGACCTCTTAAACGTTGGTAAATTTCTGCCGAACTACAGATCCTACATCAACAAAGTAAATGAATAAAACGTGTGTATCAGGAAATATGAATTGTTTGCTTTCGACTTTTATTTTCCTGTCTCGCGGTTGATTTCTTTCTCTCTCTCTCTCTCTTCCTTGAACGAAGTCGAAAATGAGACGAGGCCCTCGAGAAGAGAATGGAGAAACCTCGCTCTAATTGATTCGTCAGCAAATGACGTTCCGTGTCGTTACAGAACCGAGCTAGAAATCTGTTCTCTGTGTTCCAGGCCCCCCTCTTTCTTTGTGTTATCATCGTCATTATTATTCTTCTCTCGCGTCGATGGGCTCCATTGCTCGCTTTGTGTTTTACAACAGATGCTTCCTCATTGCTCGTTTACTCGTTATATACCGCATTAAAAGGCGTTTGGTAATAAAATTTAAAATATATAATAAAATTCAGGTCAATACACAAAACTTTATTTAGATGTTAAAATTTAAAATTTAAATTTTAAATTTTAACATTTAAATTTTAAATTTTAACATTTAAATTTTAAATTTTAACATTTAAATTTTAAATTTTAACATTTAAATTTTAAATTTTAACATTTAAATTTTAAATTTTAACATTTAAATTTTAAATTTTAACATTTAAATTTTAAATTTTAACATTTAAATTTTAAATTTTAACATTTAAATTTTAAATTTTAACATTTAAATTTTAAATTTTAACATTTAAATTTTAAATTTTAACATTTAAATTTTAAATTTTAACATTTAAATTTTAAATTTTAACATTTAAATTTTAAATTTTAACATTTAAATTTTAAATTTTAACATTTAAATTTTAAATTTTAACATTTAAATTTTAAATTTTAACATTTAAATTTTAAATTTTAACATTTAAATTTTAAATTTTAACATTTAAATTTTAAATTTTAACATCTAAATAAAGTTTTGTGTATTGACCTGAATTTTATTATATATTTTAATCAAAGAACACAAACATGACGCATGTAAACCTTAAACGTAATAAAATTTGTTTAGTTGGTTCGATGCAAATTATAAGTGTGTACGTATTGCAATGGAATGTTACCATTTAGAAATGTAAATAATCTGGTTTTTTTCTGATTTTTCAAGTCGAATATCTCTCTTGGTGCTTCGTGATGGTTTGGAGATTTTCAGATGATCACTGAGGGGTTCTACTGCACAGAAAAGCGAGTTTGAATGTGACGTAATTGCTTCCAAGCCTGGGTAAATTATCTAAAAGATTTGAAAAGGAACCGATGTTAAACACAAAAAGTACTTTCCAGAGGAAGAAGGCAGTCTGTTAATTAGAAAGGGCGTCTATCCGCAAGACTGCATGGATTCGTGGAAAATGTTTGAGGAACCTGAATTACCACCTAAATCTGAATACTAAAGCCGATTTAATGAAAGTGATTTCAAAGATGACGACCATGTACACGCGCAGTGTGCCAGGATTTTG